CTGCGTACGTCTATCGCACGCAAATTTTTTCCCTGAATAACATACTATAACACCTAAATAACACAGAATAACACGAAGGGAATATTTTCTTGTGTCACTGGGTCGATCACCTCCACGACGTAATTTCATTGGACTCCACATTCCTGCCATCTATTTAAAAATTTTAGGTTAATTAATAAATAGAAAAAGCAAAAAGGAGAAGAAAATAAATATTAATTAATTCGAGACTACTTATAAAGTCAATGTCATAATTATACCAATGCTTCACGGTTTCAAATTGACATACATAATTTTTTATATTTTCCTGTGAATTTAATTAATTAAACATATTTTCAATGAAGCATAGAAGAAAAAAAAAAGAAAATTTAGATACAAATCATAAAATTTTTATGTATTTATATTTATAATAGGTAAATTTTTATATTTATATTTATAATATGTTTTTGTCATAAATTTATGAATGAAATTTGTATTTTACTTTTTAAAAGTAAATAATATTGATATTATTGATATAACATTAAAGTTTGAGTTTTGTGCGTGTAAATACGAATGTTTCAGTATTACATGCGTGATGAACAATAAAAATTTTGTAACATTTATTGATGAAATGAACCTTTTATTTATAAGAATAAGTGATCGCACAATTACATAATGTAATCCTAGTATATGTAAATACGATAATGGTTTTTTATTCTATACATAAATATGACCCTGAGACCCATGGATGTCCGACCGAAAGAGGTCGGGCGGACATTAGGCCGGACAATCATTTAGTTGGGTTGTCATTAGGTCGAGCGGTCTCGCCTGGGTATAATTAGGTCGAGCGGTCTCGACTGCTTGTTGAGGACCTAGTCCAACTGCTTCAAGATCGGACAACTTGCCTTACTCCCCCAACCTAACCTAAGTAGAGGGCGCTGAGGCTCGTTCATGTGAGTCTGATCAAATAGATTCTTCGTGAGATAATCCACCCTCATTCCGTCCGAGAAGTATCGTCCTCTCGACACACACGAGCCAACAAACCAATTGTTTGGTCCAGGGTCGTTCTTGGTGGGTGCAATGATGCTGTGTTACCTCTTCTGCTAGGCGTGAGTTATTTTTGAGATCCGTGCTAGCATATTTTGATGTACAATATGTATGTAAATACGTAATTTATTTTTATTTCAAATTCAACCATTTTATTATCTCTATTATAATTTCAATCAATATATTACAAATTTGAGCATTTAACCATAATACTTAACCTGATTTTTTTCCGAAAGCCTAAAAATTGTAGCGGTGGCGCTTGCCCCGCAACTAGGGGTGTAAACGAACCGAACACGAACGAACAGAGCTTGTGCTCGTGTTCGGTTCATTTGAGATTTAGTTTGTTTGAAATAAGCCCGTGTTCGAAATTGTTCGTGAAATCACTGTTCATGTTCGTTTCTTAACGAACGAGTTGAACAACGACGACGGACCATTTTGACATTCCTAATATTAATATATAGAAATAATATATGATATTACTTATATAACTTATATAACTTATATTATATAAATATATAATATCTCAGCCGCTTATTGAGGACCTAGTCCAACTGCTTCAAGACCGGACGGCTTGCCTTGCTCGCCCGACCTGACCTGAGTAGAGGGCGCTGGCCTCATTCATGCGAGTCTGATCAAATAGATTCTTCGTGAGATAATCCACCCTCATTCCGTCCGAGAAGTATCATCCTCTCGACACACACGAGCCAACAAACCCATTGTTTGGTCCTGGGTCGTTCTTGGTGGGTGCCATGATGCCCTGTCACCTCTTCTGCTCACGTGAGTTGTTTTTGAGATCCGCGCTAGCATATTTTTTATGTACAATATGTATGTAAGTACATA